AGGTCTGCCTCTTCTCTATGTGTGTTTTTGAGTGTATCTGTTTGTCCAGCGCCTTGCAACGTCCTCCCGACGTGAAAGGTGCTATACAAATGGAATTTTTTGTAATTTTGTTGTTGTTGTTATCTGTGTGAATGTGTATATGTGTCTCTCTCTCCTCTGTGTATATGTGTGTGGAATCCAGTAGCTTAGAGTAAGAGCATTCGCCTCGCAACCTGGTTGTTAGTTGCCTGGCGGATTGCTTTTCCGGGTAATAAGCCCTTCAAAAAAACCTAATAATTAATAATTTGGTCATTCAATCCACAACTGTTTGTGGGACGCTGCTGTGAGCAATTGGCCGCCGCGTTTCGCCCACAAAATACACAGCCAATTCACTTTACAGTCTATTCTGTGAAGAGCTTTGAGACATCTCGAAGATATGATAAGGCGCTATATCAAATGCAAGGATTATTATATTTCTTTATGTCTATGAATGTGTGTCTCTCAGAACCAAGACACTGGAATTATTTAAGAAGCTTCCAGCTGCGGGTGTGGGGGGATGATAGGGTAGGTGTTCTGGAAAGTCGGATGGGTCAAAGGGGTCTTCTTCATCCAAATCAATCTCATGATCTTCTGTGTTTTTGAGATAGATTTCTCTAAAGCTTCCTCAACTACCAATGCTGCTCCACCATCCACAAACTTTGCAGCCAAGTTCAAGGTTCTGCAAATTCATCCCCACGCGGCCTCATTGAAGAGAAGTGCTCCCTCTTCCAATTCCCGTCGACTGATGGTTATGCTCTCTAAACTCCCCCCTCCTACCCCCCACGCTCCTATTTGGTGGCAGTGTCTTCAGCCTCTATAACTCTCCACAAAACCGCACCAAATTTCATCTCTCATTACCGTCAAGCCAACAATTACTCAGTCACTTCAGGGCGGTGTGTGGCATCTGTGCACAGACAATACGACTACAATACAGACAATACCTGATAGTAATTACCTGTAGGCATTTTCAACATTTTAGGTGCTCAATTAAATCTATTGTTTGTTTATTTGGAGCCATCTTGAAGACTGCTTTCTGACTGTGCCTTTGGGCAACAACAACAGCAAAATTACACTTGTATAGAGCCTTTCACATCGGGAGGACGTCCCCAGGGGCTGGACAGTCAGTGTTTCTGACCCTAGCTGGGGGTCGGTATCAGGAGGATGGAGGGCAGGGGGGGAAGCAGGGTGATCGAAGGCATGGTTGAAGAGGAGGGTCTTGAGATGGGTCTTGAAGGTGGCGAGGGAGGGTAGCGAGATGCAGGGACTGCGGGATGGAGTTCCAGAGGGTGGGGGCAGAGTGGCAGAAGGCCCACCCGCCAATGGTGGGCGAGCGAGGCGGGGGACGTGAAGCAGGCCAGAGCCCGCTGAGCGGAGGAAGCAAACAGGGTGGTAGGGGGGGCGTTAGGAGGTTGGAGAGATAGGTGGGAAGCAAAACTATGAAGGGCTTTGAAGGTGAGGACCAGGATCTTGAACTGTATTCTCTGTGTGATGGGAAGCATCTTTAATAACAAGTCGCATTTATATAGCGCCCCTCACGCAGGGTAGGGTCCCAGAGCGCTCAACAGTGGCAGAATCTAAGCCTGAGCCAGGGGGAGAGAAGCGGAGGGTGCGGGGCGTGGGGGGGGGAAACCGTAAGCACGATCATAAACGTCTTTAGGCGGGACATCTTTAACATCCTTCCTTTGTGTTCCTACCATCTCTGTGAAGGTTTTATTTCGCCCACAAAATACAGTCAATTCACTTTATAGTACTGTATATTCTGTGAAGCACTTTGAGACGCTATATCAAATGTAATTTTGTTGTACATCAAATCCAAGGAATTTGCCATTTAAGAGGAAGTTAGATACGTACATGAGGGAGAAAGGAATAATAGGTTATGCTTGAAGGCTTAGTTGAGGAAGGGCAGGAGGAGACTCATGTGGAACATAAAACACCGGCATAGACCAGTTGGGCCGAATGGCCTGTTTCTGTGCTGTATATTCTAACGTATCCTAATGTAATGTATTATTATTTGTCCTCAGTGAAAGTTGCTTTATAGATATATAGGATCATGTTGCTGTTATATAACAATGCAAATATAAATATGGAGGATTTTTACAAGCCAGACAGAATATCTAGGAAGGGAAGACAGTGCGGAGCTGACCTCTACAAAAGTATACATCGATTATTATTAAGGAAGTGGGTTAGGGGTGTGGTATTGGGAAATTAAATCCCATCTTAAGGCTGTCTTATTTCTGTTAGGTATGGGTATCAAGAGACACGGGGCAAGGGCAGGTATTGGAGTTGAGGTAATGATCTTATAGAATGCCGGAACAGGCTCAAGGGGCTGAATGGCCTACTCCTGTTCTTACGGTCCACGTTCTCCCAGCTGGAACTTTGGGCAACTAAGACTGTGGCTTCCAGTGTTCGAAGATCTCTCTGGCGAGGCAGGGGCAGCTGTGATCTACAAAGGGAAGGAAAGCTGACTTGTCCCCACCTTTTTATGTTACTTGAAACTGGTAGCACAAGAGCAATGGCTTTGCAGCACTCCAAGTCCCCGGTAGCCTCTCACCCCCCCTTCCCCTCACTGCCTGCTCTTCAAGAGATAGCAAACTGGAACTCACTATGGAGTGTCAACTGGGTGTCAACTCATCGGGAAACATCACTCACATCAAAAAGAACAATAATCCATGCATTTGATATAGGCCTAAAATGCGGTAAAATCGTTGAGTGAGTGAGTTCAGCAACTCTACATTTGCAGGCAAACGATTTGGGACGTCCTCCTGCCGTGAAAGCCACTACTATACAACAAAGCCCCCCCACACATACACAGCCTCCCCAACACACACCCAGCCCGACCCACCCACACAGCCCCCCACCCACACAGCCCTCCCCACCCACACAGCCCTCCCCACCCACACAGCCCTCCCACCACACACAGCCCTGACCCACCACACAGCCCTCCCCACACACACCCCCCCCACCACCCCCACACACACAGCCCGCCCACACACACAGCCCTCCCACCCCACCAGCCCCCCACACACAGCCCTGACCCACACACACAGCCCTCCCCACCCACACAGCCCCGCCACACACACACAGCCCTGACCCACACACACAGCCCTCCCCACACACATAACCCTCCCCACACACACACAGCCCTCCACAACCACATACACAGCCCTCCTACCCCCACACAGCACTCCCCACCCCCATACACAGCCCTCCCCCCCACACACACACAGCCCTCCCCCCCCCGCACGCAGCCCTCCCCACCCCGCACGCAGCCCTCCCCCCGCCCGCACGCAGCCCTCCCCCCGCCCGCACGCAGCCCTCCCCCACGCACGCAGCCCTCCCCCACGCACGCAGCCCTCCCCCACGCACGCAGCCCTCCCCACGCACGCAGTCCACCCCGCCACACGCACAGCCCTCCCCCCACCACACACACAGCCCTCCCCCCACCACCACACACAGCCCTCCCCCCACCACCACACACAGCCCTCCCCCCACCACACACACAGCCTCCCCCACCACACACACAGCCCTCCCCCACCACACACACAGCCCTCCCCCCACCACCACACACAGCCCTCCCCCCACCACCACACACAGCCCTCCCCCACCATCACACACAGCCCACCCCACCGCACATACACAGCCCTCCACCCCCACACACAGCTCTCCCCACACACACACAGGCCTCCCCCCACACAGCTCTCTTTATCTGAACACGTGGTTTTCCTAATTGTATTTGGAAGCAATCAGCATTACCTTGAACTTGTTGAGCGAGTTCCCCAGAGCCTCGATGGTCTCCATGTCCAGATGGTTTGTAGGTTCATCCAGAATGTAAAAGTTGGGGCTGAAATTTTAAAGCAAAAATGTACAGGTGGTTGACAAAGGTGGGAATCACTGCAGGTGGATACAAAGTGCTTTTACGTCAGGAGGATGTCTCAAAATGCTTCACGTGAAGTGTGGGGTCTGCAATATGAGGGCAAACACAACAGCCAATGTGCGCACAGGGACTTCTCGCACAGGGACTTCTCGCACAGGGACTTCTCGCAAACAGCCATGAAGTGAGTGAGCAGGTTTGTACCTGGGGATGGAGGACCAGGATCCTGGGATGTAATTTGTTGTAACTCTGTTTTTGAACAGCGCAGCAGGATAGTTTAACATCCACCTGGAAAGGCACGGCCGGGACCTCGGTTTAACGTCTCATCCAAAGGCCGGCACCCCTGACACTGCTGCGCTCTCCCAGCATTGCAGTGTCAGATTACACTGTGCATTCAAAGTGTTGACAGGGACTTTGAACCCACATCGTTGACTCAAAAGGCAAATGTGTTCATGTCTAAGGCAGACTGACACCTAGGTGTGAAAGTGTGTGGTCTCCCAGGATTAAATGGCTCAAGGATCAAAGCGACAGGTTACCATGGCATAGTCATCTGTGCAAACGCCACCCGGCTCTTCTGTCCTCCTGAGAGGCTGGCCACTGGCCTGACCGCGAGCTCCCCTGATATCCCGTAGCCACCCAGCTGGTGACGGTACTCCTCTTCCGGCTTCCCTGGTAACAAACCACAGCCCAGAGCATTACAAGCTGCCGCTAGGCAATACCAGTCAGACAGAATTCTCTCACTGTCTACACGTTAGTAACAGCCATTTTACTAGTAACACACAGTCAGTTCTCGTCAAAAGTGGGTCTAATGCTGGCCAGTTTGTAATCAAACCTCAGTGAAGGTTGCTGTAAGGTTGGGAGTCCAGCTCTGAACGTAACCTGATAGAAATAAGCTCTTCCTTCAGTAACCAGCCTGGAGGCAATTAACACACACAGTCCTGCCAGCTGGGGTCTATTAGCTTATACTAAATAGAGGCAAAGTGAAAACAATTATCACAAGCAATATTAAAAACACGCGGCTTTAGTTTCTGTTTAATGTAGCCGAGATTCCCCCAAATGCCGCTGAAAACAAAGTACTTTTCGGTGTAAGTTGTTTGATGGATCCTTAATAGTGTTGGGGTCAGAGCCCTCCCTGTGGTGACACCCTGTGCTGGTTACCTATAACTACCACCGCTGACTGATGCGCAGCATGATTTAAACAACAAAATTACATTTATATCACCCCTTTCAAGTCGGAAGGACTTCCCATTTACAGCAGGGGTTATCACCCCATCACACCCACAACCAAGAACAGGTAGCAATATTGCTGGAGTGTTCAATCCCCTCCCCACACACATCAAATGATGAGAACAACAACAAGATTACATTTGTATAGCGCCTTTCACATCGGGAGGACGTCCCAAGGTGCTGGACAGAGTACAGCATTTCAGACCCGAGCTGAGGTCAGGGGGTGGGAAGGGGAAGGGGGGCGGCCGATGGCATGGTCGAAGAGGAGGGTTTTGAGGTGGGACTTGAAGGAGGCTAAGGAGGGGGCGAGGCGGAGGGATTGGGGGATGGAATTCCAGAGACTGGGGGCAGAGTGGCTGAAGGCTCTCCCGCCAATGGTGGGGCGGGTGGGTTGGGGGACGTGGAGCAGCCGGAGACGGCTGAGCGGAGGGAGTGGGCGGATTGGTAGGGGGTTAGGAGGTCACAGAGATAGGATGGGATGAGGCCATGGAGGGCTTTGTAGGTGAGGACCAGGATTTTGAACTGGAACAACAAATGCAATTACCCAGTATCTGAAGCATTGAATCAAGTCATTCAGCCCAACTAATCAATTATATTCCAAACGAGCCTCCACCTTTAATCCCCACTCCTCGCTGGCTCTTCCCTCTCTGGCCCCTTGATTCCCTTCTCGCTCACCTTACTGCAGGAACCGGGAGCATCCCGATGTCAGATAGCCTCAGGCTGCAGCAGGCACTGAGCACTGGGGACCAGCTTCTCTCTCTCTTCCCTCACACTTACCTGGGAACTTTGCTGCTAACAGCTCTACGGAGCAGACATTCATGTCTAGCTGATCCACGTGGTGTTGGCTGAAATAGCCAATTTTTAAGTTCCTGTCAATGAGGAGAACAGAATAAGTGACAATGAACAGGGACTGAAATCCTGACGGGGAATGGGAGGCGGGAGAACCGCGTGTATTCTCTCCGGCAGGAACAATCCCAAATATCCTGTAGGATAGTGGTTGGAGCACTTGCCTCGCAAGCGAGAGGACCTGGGTTCAAATCCTGGGCAGGGCGAAACATTAGGCAAGTTTCCTTACTCCACCTGCCTCTGTTTATCTAACAGTAAGAACCCAAACCCAGTTGTTAAGTCAATTGGCGGATGGCTTTACAGGGGTAATAATCCCTCAAAAAAAAATCCAGTCACTAAATCCACGACTGTTTGTGGGACACTGCTGTGCGTAATTTAGCTGCTGAGTTTTGCCCACAAAATATAGTCACTACATTTTACAGTATATTCTTCGAAGCATTTTGAGACATCTCAACGACATAAGGCGCTATATCAAATGCAAGGATTATTATTATTATAACAGGATGAAGTCAGACTGTTTCCGAGTACTTGTAGGAAGACGGCATGAAGTGGATGGTTACCTGTGTGCATGGCGGATTCCCTGGACGGGTGTCAGATCTCCGAGCAGTAACTTTAACAACGTGGTTTTACCAGCCCCGTTCTCCCCGACCTGTGTGTGCACAAGACAGCGATCACAAGACGTCTGAACATTGCGGACTCTCACCGCATAAACAAACTCTCGCGGAGACTTGCATACACGCCAAAGAAAACTCTCAACAAACACAGACAAAACAATAAGATAGTCACAGCTAGTTTCTAAATAAAAACAACTGCTCACATATACACCCAGATCATTGATGAAAGCAGTTTGAGAGAAGCTTGCAATAATGTTCCTGCCTTTGGGGTTTCTTGTGGCACAGAGTGTGTTGATACTGAAATGTATTCACTGCCCACTGGAGCGGGTATGGCCAGTGTCACCCAGTAGTAGGTAAGTGGGGCTCAGTCTGCGCCTTTACTCTAGGCCCTGTTAACAGCCTGCCCGTGTAAACCACAGCAAGGCTACAGAACAGCACAGTACGTACAATGCAAATGCGTGAGTCCTGATCAGCCGACACCGACAAATTCCTGAATATGGAAGAGCTGGAACTGTAGGAAAAGTCTAGTTCACTCAGCTGCAATATCGGAGGAGACAACTTCTCAAAGTTATCAGGAAACCTGGAGAGAGCGAGAAAGGGAGTCATTCATAATACTTAGAAACAAATGACACAAGTCAGCATTAAATCCAAATTAAACCAAAAAAAGTTAACATGAAACCAGCAGTTTTGTTAGCCACTTTCTCAGTCTTTCCCTTGAAGGTTCCCCATGAGCTGACACACAGCTTGACATCACCTCCTGCTCTCTTCCAAACCCACCAGAGTGCATCACTTTGTTGCGCTACATTAAATACCCATTTCAATTGACTACTGACTTTCCTACCTTAACTCTGAATAAAGATTCTGTGACTTCACGCACCTTATAACCACTTCTGGCTCCTTTTCAAGTGGTTTCAACTCAGGCCTGGAGGGGGGTTAGGAAGGAGAACAGAAGATGTGAAGATTATACAAGGGTCACAAGAAAAAAAGTTTCAGTGTTTTGTTAGCCTGGTACAACAGCTCTGAATATTGCACCTCCGGAAAATAATTCAAGGAGATACTTTGGATTACGTTATCTGTTTTGGGGTTTGGTGATTAAGATGTTTACAGTTCACATGAACAGTGTTTTAACATGACCGGTAGCTATTTGGTCATGGTACATGGTTAACGACGATGCCAATGATGCCCTCAGCAGTCTGATCCTCACATACGTGTGTTGGTCACCAATACACCTTGGGCATGCAACTTCCCAACATAAGAATTTGCTCAGAGTGGGTACAACTTACAGGGATGAGTATACGGAAAAAAACTACGAGTTTAGAAGCCAGGGAAATCACAAGAACAAGGGGAACAATTAGAGCTAAGCCAGTTAACAGTGGATCAAGGAAATATTTCTTCACACAGAAAGTGGAACGTACCACCCCATATATGCAGAAGTTTCATAGCTAGAGATAGAGAGACAGAGATAGATCAGAGGTGACACAAAGAGCGATGCAATGAGATGAAAACCATACAGAGCTAACACAATGTGATAAGGTGGGAGGGCTGGGCTGGCAGGGCAGGCTGGTTTGGGCAGCGCCTGGATGGGGGTGCAGCTGGGCACCGCTGGGATGGGGAGGGCAGGCTGGACAGGCTGAGTAGCCTCCTCCTGCGCTGACAGAATATTGCTCTACATGCAGGTGGCACATTTCACTATTCATTCAGGATGCCATTTTTGTTTAGTCCATTGCCGCCTCGATCTCCCAGTGATGTTCTCTGAAGGCAGGAGGCAATGATGTTCTTCTGCTGCATAATTGTTCAACAGTTCAGACCAAGATTCCACAGCGCAGCATCATAGTAAATGAGGCCATAAAAGGCAGTCAGTGACTGAACTCAATAGCTGAGCCAAAGGCAGACAGCACCCCCACCCCAAACCCCCCAGAAGACAACGTGAGAAGAAAGCCAGTCTTATTGTCAGTGTTCTCTGCCCTGCCCCTCCCACCCGGGCAATTACAAGAGCTTCGAAATTACCACAAAAAATGGATTTTGTGTATTTTACAGAGGGCTATTAGCACGTGAATTGTTTGACCAAATGGTTGATGCTGAATTATGCTGATAAAACAGGTGTGTGTGTGTGTGTAGAGAGAATATACACAAACACCTGTTTTATTTTGTGAAGATAATTATTTGGTGAGGACAGGTTTGCAGGGCTACGGTGAGAGAGCGGGGGAGTGGGGTTGATCAGGGCTATGGGGAGAGAGGGGGGGAGTGGGGTTGATCAGGGCTACGGTGAGAGAGCGGGGGAGTGGGGTTGATCAGGGCTATGGGGAGAGAGGGGGGGAGTGGGGTTGATCAGGGCTATGGGGAGAGAGGGGGGGAGTGGGGTTGATCAGGGCTATGGGGAGAGAGGGGGGGAGTGGGGTTGATCAGGGCTATGGGGAGAGAGCGGGGGACTGGGGTTGATCAGGGCTATGGGGAGAGAGCGGGGGACTGGGGTTAATCAGGGCTATGGGGAGAGGGCGGGGGAGTGGGGTTGATCAGGGCTATGGGGCGAGGGTGGGGGAGTGGGGTTGATCAGGGCTATGGGGCGAGGGTGGGGGAGTGGGGTTGATCAGGGCTATGGGGAGAGGGTGGGATGGAGTCGGGTTGATCAGGGCTATGGGGAGAGGGTGGGGGAGTGGGGTTGATCAGAGCTATGGGGAGAGGGTGGGGGAGTGGGGTTGATCAGGGCTATGGGGAGAGGGTGGGGGAGTGGGGTTGATCAGGGCTATGGGGAGAGGGTGGGGGAATGGGGTTGATCAGGGCTATGGGGAGAGGGTGGGGGAGTGGGGTTGATCAGGGCTATGGGGAGAGGGTGGGGGAGTGGGGTTGATTAGGGCTATGGGGAGAGTGCGGTTGATCAGGGTTATGGGGAGAGGGTGGGGGAATGGGGTTGATCAGGGCTATGGGGAGAGAGTGCGGTTGATCAGGGCTATGGGTAGAGAGTGGGGGAGTGGGGTTGACTTGAAAGCTCTTTTCAAAGAGCAGCACAGACACAATGGGCCGAATGGCCTCCTTCTGTGCTATATAAGTCTATGATATGATTCTATAAATTCTTCACAGCTTTTGTGAGGGAATTAGGCAAACACTTGAAAAAGAAAACTATCTTGAAGTGTGAAATGCAGTGACTGTGTATGTATGAGCGAGTTATCCAGTTAATCATTAAAATCACTGAGTAAACCAGCTCAATGGCACTCAGATTGCTGTCTTACGCAAGGGAACAGCAGGAAATCTGTTACCACTAAAGAAACTAAACAGCAGCGATTCAGCCCCGACTATTAGCAAGATAACAGCTGGGATACACACACCCCTTCCTTCTCAAGTCTGGGGCTGCTTCACTACTCCCTCATTTCAGGGGTTTTATTTTGTAAAATAATACTTTACAGAATATTCAAATCCCTTTGGTCAATTCTCAGGTACTTACAATTTTTCCAGTAACTTCAGCTTGCTTTGAACCTGCGACGCTCTGTTTGCATTGTACCTGAACCGATCTATAAACACCTGAACAAACGGGAAAGATTAGACGGGTATTAAAGGCAATGTCACAGATTCATATTGTCAGCAAGATGTCAGGAAGATATGTGGTTATTAGAATAATAATCTTGCATGTAGTATAGCACCTTTCACGTCAAGAGGACCTCCCAAAGAACTTCTCATTAACTATGTTGTGTTGTGATAAAGCAACCCTCACACTTAAACATTAAGAAAACATGTAGGAACCTGTGAGCTGTCCACTATTTCAAAACTGCCCTCACTGTATCTTAGGAGAATGAATATCTCCATTCCAGTAACTAACACAGGAAACCTAATGTTTTCCATGTTCCACTCTGATTTTAGTTTGGTTCTTCTACACTTTAACCCTTCTACACCTTAACACCCTACCTGCTCGGGCAAACCAAAGCCTTAACAGGTGGGTGGTCCTAGCGAATAAGTTGCAGGAAGCTTGCCAACGTTCACAATGCATACTTTGGGGGTCCCCAAGAGCCCCCCCTCTTGCTAACCTACACCTAAACTCTCAGGATAGCAGGATTATTCCATCAGCGGAGACAGTGTGCACTTGGCACCACACTAACAGAAACAATATAGATGTGGAAATCTCAAGTTTGGTTTGGAGTCTGACACACGGTGCTGGGTTTCCAAGCGCTGTGGGACGCTGCTCTGCGTGAGGGGCGCTATATAAATGCAAGTTGTTCTTTTATGCCAGAAACGGGATGGTAAACCCTTACGGTGGGGCATCTCATCTCTTAACGGTGGCAGCAACTTGTATTTACAGTGTGGGCGTTACCAACTACTAGAATGAAAACCAAAACTAGTGTAAATCTGAGGGGACATGGATTACAGGCTATAACGTGGCTCCATGTCAGTGCTGAGGAACCAGAACAGCCACATAATGGAGCCAAGCCAAATCCTCTCAACTCATGTTACCAGGACAACCATTCCTATGACTAATTGTCAGGGTAACTGTTTTTGTGATTCTTTCAAAAGAAAAAGCTAATTTAATAATCGATTAACACCAGACTTTAAAAAGTGCACATACAGGAGGGTTTGTCCAATTAGCTTAGCAATAAACTGATGGGAGGTGGCGTGTCTCAGTACACACAACTCCCACTCCAGCCCAGGTACACTCACCGGTAGGTGCACACACACACACAGACACACACACACACAGATAGACAGTACACAGCTGTATATGCTCTGTATACAAACACATAGCTGTATATGCTCTCTGTGTACACACACACAATACACAGCTGCATATGCTCTGTATACACACACACAGTACTTAGCTATGTATGCTCTGTATATACACACACTAGTTATACATGCTCTTTGTACACACAGCACACTTCTGCATGTTCTCTCTGTATACATGCACATACAGTACACACCTATATATGCTCTGTATACGCATACAAAGTACATACCTGTATATGCTCCCAATACACACGCACTATACACCTGTATGTGCTCTCTGTACACACACACAATCCACACCCATATATGCTCTCTGTACACACACACCTGTATACGCTCTCTGTACACACACACCTGTATACGCTCTCTGTACACACACACCTGTATACGCTCTCTGTACACACACACCTGTATACGCTCTCTGTACACACACACCTGTATACGCTCTCTGTACACACACACCTGTATACGCTCTCTGTACACACACACCTGTATACGCTCTCTGTACACACACACCTGTATACGCTCTCTGTAAACACACACCTGTATACGCTCTCTGTACACACACACCTGTATACGCTCTCTGTAGACACACACACCTGTATACGCTCTCTGTACACACACACCTGTATACGCTCTCTGTACACACACACCTGTATACGCTCTCTGTACACACACACCTGTATACGCTCTCTGTACACACACACCTGTATACGCTCTCTGTACACACACACCTGTATACGCTCTCTGTACACACACACCTGTATACGTTCTCTGTACACACACACCTGTATACGCTCTCTGTACACACACACCTGTATACGCTCTCTGTAGACACACACCTGTATACGCCCTCTGTAGACACACACACCTGTATATGCTCTCTGTACACACACACCTGTATATGCTCTCTGTACACACACACCTGTATATGCTCTCTGTACACACACACCTGTATATGCTCTCTGTACTGTCGCTGAGCCTCGTACTCTCGCTGCTGGTTTTTCAGCCGCTCCTCCTTTGTCTTTATGAAGTTCTCGTAGTCTCCGCGGTAGGTCTCCAGGCGCTGGGAGTGCAGGTGGATGATGTCAGTGGCCACCGCGTTGAGGAAGTTACGATCGTGGGACACGACGAGGATGGTGGACGGCCATGTCTAGATCAAGACGTTTCAGCAAAGTGTCAATGATGATGATAATCATTCTCATATCTGATACAGCACCTTACCACATCCTCGAGACGTCCCAAAGCGCTTCTCAGGATTTTGCTGTAAACTTCAGCGGCTATATTTTGTCGCTGACCATTTTGCAGGCAATTTGTACATAGAAACGTCTCACCCACAGCTGTGGAGTGAGTGACTGGTGGATTTGGGGGATTTGTTGGCCATGACAATGGGAGAGTGGAATTCCCTTTAGAGACACTGGGAGAAACTTCGAATAGCACTATGAGATTTTTGACATCCACCTAAGCAGAGACGGTTTAACATCGCATTCAAAGGACGGCAACTTCTACAGGGCAACACTCCACCCCCACCCCCAGCGCTGCATTGGAGCGTCAGTTTAGACTATGCAATTCCAAGTCCCGTAGCGGGGCTTAAACGCACAACCTTCTGACTCAGAAGCGGGAGCGCTACCGACTGAGCTGCATATTATTACTATGGTCTCTAAAGCTAGGCTACAACCTTCTAACCCTAAATCAAGAGTGCCACCAAATAAGCCAAGCTGATGCCTATTGCCTATATCCCTGGCTGGCAAGATTCCACAGAGAAGATCATGGCGGAAACAATGACAAACGCTTCTTTTCAGACCAGGAGCCGAGCAGCCAGGCCTGGGAAAGCTCAGAACCAGCCATAGATCACTGCTTACTGTCAAATCTGAAGTCTTAACTCCCTAAAACTTGATTACTGAGTGGATGATTGATAGCCCTGCGCCTTTCACTAGTGCAGGACAGCACAATTTACCCCATGTACAAAATGACAAGAAGCCTGCAGGAAGCCAGAGACGATGAAATAAAATCAAGAAACACAGTAACATTAATTACATCACCAGAGGAATGGATTCAGTTCTGGTGCCTCTGATATTGGTCTGCTGTCTACCTCCCTACCACCACTCATCAATTTGATTACATTCTTGCTTATCTCCACCTACCCCCAAGTTCTTCATGCCCCACACCGCATCAAATCACCTTATACATATATACTATTCCTTGCATTTGATTTAGCACCTTATCACGTCACAAAATATACTGTACAGTGAATTGACTGTATACTTATAGGGGAAACGCGGCAGCCAATTGCGCATAGTATTGTCTCACACACAGTCATGGATTGAAGTGACCAATTTTTAAAAAAATTTTTAAAAAATTAAATGGATTATTACTCCTGGAAAGATTACATTATCCTTTGATAAAGACAAACACAGACAAGTGACTCGGATTTTAAAGGCGAAAACAATGGCGTCACACTGTAAATCTATTAGGTAATCGCTGACATGGGACAAATGTTTGGTCGCTCCTTCCAGCTCCGGGGTTTTCAGGCCACCACATTCTATAGGAACATAGGTACAGGAGGAGTCCATTCAGCCCCTCAAGCCTGTTCTGCCATTCTGTAAGATCATGGCTGATCTGTACCTCAACTCCAAGCCCTTGCCCCAAATCCCTTGATACCCTGACCTAACAAATATCTATTCTAGGGCCCAAATGGCTGTTAACCCTTAGATGACTAGTAAACATAATCAGACATTTTGGAAGGGAACATGGCCCAGTTGTGGCTATACAGAGGCTCCAAATTGCACTTAAACTTGTTAACCGAGGGGGGAGGAACGTGTTCTGCTACGATCTGAGGATGAAGCTGTGCGGAAAGCAGGAATGCTGTCCAACTGCTTCTGTGGAGTTGGCAACTGCAGGGAGACTCACCTGCAGGTAATTTTCCAACCACAGGATGGCTCGAACGTCCAACATGTTTGTAGGTTCTGCGAAAATGAGAAGCTATTTGTACCAAGCTTTCAATACTGGCAACAGGAGTGCAGAGTAAAGCATCCGTCTTTGTAAAACATTTAGCAAATCCCTACACTGTAATATGTATATTTGTCTATACTTACCATAAACGTTTGCAAATGTTCAGTTGTACCAAAAATCATATATTCACAGGGGGGACATTTGTTTGAATGTAATTTCTCCCTTGTTCTGGGTGGGCCGCCAGGGCTAACGATGTGCATGAAAGACCCATCGATCACCACCAATGTGCTTAAGAGTTCAAAATGAATGACTGGGAGCTGCACATGTGTATGTTTTCCCTGTGTGTAGTACACAGCTCACACTGACAGGGTGCGCCTGGAGAAGGACACACCCTGCTCTCACCTTAGCCAAGGAGTTTCAGTGAAGGTTGGAGCAATATTAAAGATGAACCAATTATAAAAGGTCATTTGTTAACTATACCCAGCGTAACGTTGGTTGGCAGAGTCAACGAGAACCCTGAGAGAAGACAGAGTATTTGCCTGGGTCAGGCTGGCACAGAGTCAACTGGATTCCAATCTACCATTGCCAGGTGTCATCTGGGAGCTGACTCTTTCCCAAGGAGACCCCACTTAATCCCCCGCCCACGCCCTCCCACGCCTCGGAAATCTACAAGACCATAAGTGATTATTTTATAAACAAAACAACTCACCATCCAGCAGCAGCAGATCAGGCCTGCAAGGGTCAGAGAGAGCATATCAACAACAACAACAAGATTCCATTTATTGAGCGCCTTTCACGTCGGGAGGACATCCCAAGGCGCTGTACAGTTGGGTCAGGACCCGAGCAGGGGGGAAATGGTCAGGGTGAGGGGAGGGAAGGGAGGGAGCGAGGAGGGGGTAGAGAGTCGAGAGGGGAGCTGAAGGCTGAAGGTCAAAGAGAAAGGTCTTGAGACCGGCCTTGAAGGAGGAAAGGGAGGAAGCGGCGAAGGCACTGGGGATAGAGTTCCAGAACCTCGGGGCTGAGAGGCTGAAGGCCACCGATGGTCGGGCGGTTGGGGCGGGGGATGTGGAGCAGACCGGAGCCAGAGGAATGGAGGGTACGGGCAGGTAGGTAGGGGGATAGTAGGTCGGAGAGGTAGGAGGGAGCGAGGCCGTGAATGGCCTTGTAGGTGAGGGTGAGGATCTTGAATTCAAATGCTATGTGGGAAATATTCTTAAAATGTAACACTGAGGGCAGTGAAGACAACTTCACATTTTAAAACAATTCAATAGCGTGGTCCCATTTATTTCCTAGGATAAACTTCAGCACATTTTACAAAGCATGAAAGTTTTAAAAATACTCAAAGTTACATAGATAGAATTACATAGAATATACAGCACCGAAACAGGCCATTCGGCCCAACTGGTCTATACCGGCCTTTATAATAATAATCCTTGCATTTGATACAGCACCTTATCACGTCTTCTGGACGTCTCAAACTGTTTCACAGAATATACTGTAAAGTGAATTAACTGTGTATTTGTGGGTGAAGCGCAGCAGCCAATTGCACACAGCAATGTCCCACAAACAGTCGTGGATTGAAGTGACCAATTTATTATTGCTTTTTTTTCTTGAGGGATTATTATTAGGGTGTGGAGTAAGGAAACTTGCCCAAGGTTTTGCCCTGCTAGGAATGAAACCCAGGTCTCTCACTTGCGAGGCAAGTGCTCTAACTACTGAGCTACAGGACTCCAGTTAATGCTCCATATGAGCCTCCTCCTGCCTTTCCTGAAGGTTATCAGCATAGCCTTCCGATTCCTTTTTCCATCACATATGTATCTAGCTTCCCCTTAAATGCATCTTTTCTATTCACCTCAACTCCTCCTGTGGTAAGTTCTACATGCCCACCACTCTCGGGTAAAGAAGCTTATTCTGACTTCCCTATTTGATTTATTGGTGACTATTTTATATTGGTGACCCCTGGTTTTGGTCTCCCCATAAGTAGAAACATCTTCTCTATGTCTACCCTATCAAAACCTTTCATTATTGTAATGACCTCTCTTAGGTCACCCCTTCCCTTTCTCTTTTCAAGAAGAGTCCAAGCTTCTTCAGCCTTTCCTGACTTTGTGGAGTCCTGTAGCGCAGTGGTTAGAGCACTCGCTTTGCAAGTGAGACACCTGGGTTCAATTCCAGGCAGAGGGCGAAACCTTGGGCAAGTTTCCTTACTCCACACAGAGCCTAATAATAATCCCTCCAAAAACAATAATAAATTGGTCATTTTCAATCTATGACTGTTTGTAGGACACTGCTGTGCGCAATTGGCTGCCGCGTTCGCCCACAAATATACAGTCAATTCACTTTACAGTCTATTCTGTGAAGTGCTTTGAGACGTAGAGAAGATGTGAAAAGCGCTATATCAAATGTAAGGATTATTACGTATAACCTCGCAGTTCCGTTATCATCTGTGCAAATCTCCCTTGTACCTTCTCTAAGGCCTCTATATCCTTCAAAAATATGGGGACCAGAACTGCACACAATACTTCAAGTCTGGTCTAACCAAGGTTTGATACAAGTTGAGTATACCTTTCACTTCTATCCCTCTAGTAATGAACCCCAATGCTTGGTTTGCTTTTTTTACGGCCTTATTAACCTGCGTCACTACTTTTAGCATTTTGTGCATGTGTACCCCTAGATCCCTCTGCTCCTCTACCCCATTTAGATTGTTATTTTCCAGGCAGTATGTGACCTCCTTATTCCTCCTACCAAAATGTACCACCTCACACTTATTTATATTGAAATTAATTTGTCATGGAAATGCCCTTTCAGCAAGTTTATTAATGTCTGTCGTATTTTGTTGCAGGCCTCCTCAGTAATAACTAAAACCCCCCCAATTTGGTGTCAGATGCAAATTTTGAAATTGTACTTTCGATCCCGGAGTCCAAATCGTTAATGTAAATTGTGAACCACAGTGGTTCTCAAATACCGATCCTTATGGAACACCACTGCCCACCCTCTGCCAGTCTGAGTAGCTACCCTTTACCCCTACTCTCTGCTTTCTGTCTTGTAACCAGCTTGCTATCCATTGCTATTTTTCCCCTGACCTTACTCCACACGCTCTGACCTTATTCATCAGTCTATTATGTGGTATCTTATCGAACGCTTTTTGGAAATCCAAATATATTACATGTACCACATTCCCCTTGTCTACTCTCTCTGTTACCCCTTCAAAGAATTCAATGAGGTTGGTCAAGCATGACCTTCCTTTTTGAAATCTGTGCTGACTATTCTTTATTTTTTTTCAGTTTCTAGATGTTTTTCTATTACCTCGTTCAGTTACTTTGAATTAAGGGTAAGCCAAGGATTCAAACTCAGTGCCGCCCACTGCCAAATGGCAATTGAGCTCTACACGTAAACTAGTCACTTACTTTCCAAAAAGTGCCCTTGCTAAAGCCAGTCTCATTCTCCAACCTCCGGAAAACTCCCTGAAACACAGTTACAATAGTAATTAACGTCAAATAGTTTAAACACACAGCCAGCGACCTCAAAGTCACACCCACGTCTCCCATGGAGAGCATTAGAATAAAAGGCCCAGCTAATTTAATAAAAAAACTGAAATAGCAATTTAAAACTTTGCCGCTTTGGCTAACATTCAAATAAAAGGGGGGAATGAGCTGCCTGTGTATGAATGATTAAAGTGGGAGAAAACGGTAAGCGAGTTACAATTCTGGCTTTGTTATTGACGGGAAGATGGCAAAGCGCTGGGGTTTAAGACACTGCCTTTTCACGTTCATGCTTCAAGCTGCAAGATTTCTGAAATAAAAACAGAAGTCGCTGGGAACACGCAGCAAGTCAGGCAACATCTACGGAGAGAAGGGTCTTTACATTCAAATCCCTTCTCTGCATAGGTGCTGCCTGACCTGCTGAGTATTCCCAGAGACCTCTTTTTATTTCAGATTTCTAACAGTTGCAGTACTTTGCCTTTTGTAGGTTTTCTGTGCTGTACCTGGTCATCTGTTGTTGCATCCTGGGACTGAAGCCCAGCCCGGCCAGGATCACTGAAGCCCTGAAAATAAAACAAGCCAGAATCTCAACTTTCAAAACAACCAAAAAAAAACTGTGCTCCCTCAAACCATTACACAAATATAAAGATATAAAACCAATCTAACTTGTGCTGACCACAACTCCTTACACCAGTATTACTGCACAGAGCGGCCTGCGCCCTGACACTGTGTGGCAACCAGCGACAGGAAGGCGCTCGGTTAAACCACATTGAAGCAAACATGTCTGCATTCCCACTTGGTCCTCGATTTACTCCAGGATTTCAGAACATCAAACACACATTACAAGGAATACTCTCTAGCACCCTGAAACTCTAATGCTTCAGCATCGACAAATATTCTCAGGATGACACACAGAAATGTACAGCGCCCCAGTTCTGCTATCTTCGAAACTCGCTGTGATCTGTCCGGCTGGCTATTGTGCACAGAATACATACCTCGCTGGAGCTTTGTCTGCCTCAATCTCTTCCAGTTTTGCATAGATTTCCGTTAATCTCGTGCTTTCCGTGCCATCGTTGCTGCAAAACAAAGTGACAGTGTTCAAGGTCCAACTGCCGACAGCCGCTCTCTCACATTACTTTCCCTTTCGTTCTTTCCTCATCAGCGAAGGTAGGGCTTCGGCAGTAACAGGGGCTGAGTGGGCAGAACCCAAGCCGCCAGAGACTCATCTGATCCTCCAAGTCCCAGGTTGATCCATCGTCAACAGAGGCCTGCAGTACTGCGGACTCCCTGGCTCAGGTACCGGACAATCGCGACCGTCACAGATCCATTTCCATGGGGGAAATGGTGGTTTCTTACTCACAGACCAGAGTTCAGCTTCACGTTCAGCTCCTTCTCCTCCTGTAGCAGACTCTCGCGTACCACATCGCACTGCAGCACGCTCTGCAAGGCCCTGGTGTCATCACCAGCCACCTCCTGCTCCACGTGTAACACGCTAATGTGCGAGGGAATGTGCAGATTCCGCGCTGACATCATCTTCAACAGTGTGGTCTTCCCTAAACCGTTCCTGCCAACCAGACCGTAACGCCTGCCATAGGCCAGGTGCACCTCAGCACCCGTCAACAATGTCCTACAATAATGCAAACCAGAAATCCTTGTTACAGCAACTCTCTCCTTCAATATATAAACAAGCATTTTATAGCATCTTATTGCCCATGTTTGCCCAGTCTCACAGTAACTACACACAATAGTTACAGCACAGCAAATAGCTAATATTAATAAGAAATAATAACTATTTATTAATATTATTATTTAAGTTAATAGTTACAGTAAAATGCGGGGACGTCCTCCCAACGTGAAAGGCGCTATACAAATGTAATCTTGTTGTTGTTGTTGCTATAGGAGATAGTTTGACATTATAGATGCTCTGTTTACAGAAACAGTTATTCTTGACAATAATTATCGTGAAGTGCTTTCGTATGCCTGTTTACCTAGTAGTAAGTAGGAACCCAGTTGTTAGTTGGTTGCCAGATTGCTTTCCAGGAGTAATAATCCCTCAAAAAAACTCAATCCACAACTGTTTGTGGGACACTGCTGTGCGCAACTGGCCCACAAAATAGTCACTCCACTTTACAATAAATCTGTGAAGTCCTTTGAGATGCCTCAACAATGTGATAAGATATGAAATCCAAGGATTGCTTTTAACATTGATTCACTAGCTAGCGTCAGACACTCACCGCTCTCCATAGGAGACGTCAAAGTTTTCGATCTTAATATCATACGACTTGTTCTTTCCGGAAGCTTCGAGGCGACTTTCCTTCTTACTGGAGGCTTGGCTGGCCGAGGCTTCCTCGAGAACTCTGAAAGGAATCAGAGGCACAACGTTAGGAGTCAGAAAGATGCCTCCAGTGGTCCCAGCCCTGTCCAGAACTACAACCTAGCAACATGAAACTGCTCCACGTCAACACCACCTTCTATATAAAGCTCATAAGGGAAAGTCCCATAATATAACGGCTGAACAGCAAGGATTACAAAATACAATGCAGCGAGAATCACCTCATAACAAACCTGATCATATTAGTTGTACTGGAAAAAAAATCAACATAAAACACAGGTCATTAACTACATCTTCAACTCATCTCTATAAACCTATAGAGAAACAAGACTCCCAGCACCCCCTCCTTCCCCACTAAATCCACCTAAACAAAGAGCTTACACAGGACTGACAATCTTCTGGGAACCCTTCTCCGTCCTCTTCTCCTGCTTAGCTCTTAGCCGGGCTTCTGCTTTTTCTAGTTTCTTAGCATCAACCGTCTGAAACAAAGCATTGTAAAAGTGAGTGACACTGAATTACTCTTCAAGGTGCCTGAGAAAGTCACCAGTGTTCAGTGAATGTCAATTTCCTCTTGAAATGAGGTCAGCCAACAGCTGGCTGCCATGAGTAGTTTAATTCCTGAGGAGTCCTGTAGCTCAGTCTGGTCTCTCGCTTCGCAAGCGAGAGACCAGGGTTCAATTCTCAGCAGGGGGAAATGTTAGGCAAATTTCTTTACACCCCTGGTTACCTAGAAGTCTGTAGGAACCCAGCCGTTAGTCAATTGGCAGATTGCTTTTCCAGTGGTAATAATTCCTTAAAAAATAATAATGAATTGGTCACTCAATCCACAACTGTTTGTGGGACGATGCTGTGCGCAATCAGCTGCCGTGTTTTGCCCACAAAATATACAGTCAATTCACAGTATATTCTGTGAAGCGCTTTGAGACATCTCAAAGATGTGATAAGGCTCTATATCAAATGCAAGGATTATTATTATTATTATGTTTTTCTAAGTGAAAATTAATTTTGTCCCAGATTATGGTCTCTAGAAGTTTTCTGCCCACGGACGTTAGGCTGATTGGCCTGTATTTACCAGATTTTGAACAGGGCAGTAACATTTGCAACCCTCCAGTCCTCAGGCACCACTCCCATATCCAAAGAGGATTGAAAGATTGTGGCCAGAGCCTCTCTATTTTCACCCTAACTTCCCTCAGCAACCTAGCTGAATCTACATCTCAGTTGAAGAACTGACTAGAGTGAAGGAACAAACACATTTAACACCTGAGTAGAAATCAGTAACATCTTTTCTACATGTATTCTAGAAGCATTCTCCAGTGTTACTATCAGCTTTCACTGAACCATTGTGGTGTGGTTAATCTATCAATGCCACCAGCCAGCAGCAATGTAAACATCGCCTCCTCTTTCACACTCATTGTTCTCACCGTGCCCGTGTCCCTTTTAGTCATCCAAATGCCTCTGATTTCCTCGGTCTTGTAGTCTGTGTGCAACACATTGAGAAGAGAAAAAGAAAATGAAATCAGGCCTTGGTGCAGCTGTACAACCCTTTGCCAAATTGAGGGACACAAATTTCCCTGCTTTCTGTCACTCGTAAAAAGTTACACATCAGACATTGTATCTACATGACACAGTTAATTCATGATCAAATCCAAGGTCCTCGCAATCAAGTCCCTCCACGACCTTGTCCCACCCACCCTCCCTGTGTGAGCTCCTGCAAGCATTCCACCCCAGACACAGCCCACTTCACGGCCCACCATTGATGGACAAACTACCAGCCATTCTCTGGAACTCCATCCTGGAACTCCCACCACCCCACCTTAAAGCCCACATAAAGACCATCCTTTTCAACTGTGCTTTCAGTACCCCTCCCACCTCAGCCTCACAATCAGCTGTGTGAAGAGCTTTTTGAGATATAACATGAAAGCTGGTGTATAAACGTATATTACTGTTAATTACTACGGTTTCCTTTGCAGCAGGAGGCAGCCTTGTGTATGAGACACAATTCAAACTCTGATATAAGATCACATCTCTGAAACCGATTCTGGGAGGTGGACAGAGTAAGGTAAGAAAATACCCTCAGATAGAGAGGAGTAACAGCCACCGTTTAATTGCCTTGGTGTCTTAAACACTGTAGTTCATTAAATTCTGGCTGACAAGTTTATTTGCAGTGCTGATTTGACTGAATGCAGCCCCAGAATCAATCACAAGTGTGATACCCTGGTGCAGCTCAATAACAGAGTTTGGTGTCAAATACAAATGCTGCCGTGTGCTGTGTGATGGCCAATCAACATGAAACAAGACAGCCTACTTCATATCACAACTCGGCATTTGAGAGGCTACAGCAAAGGGCAACCAGACTGACAGCTGAGACTGACTCCTGAATTCTGAGGAGAGGCTACAATCTGGGGACATTCACACCGAAGAGAAGATTTGGGAGAGCTGGTTAAACTGCAGCACTGGCAGATTGAAGGATAAAGATAAATGGTGACAATATATTTAGCAGTCAGACTCAAGCTCAGCTGAGGAAAGTTTAAGAGACAAACAGATCAGGTATAAGTACTTTACACACAGAGAGCGGAGAGTGTGTGGAACGGACACCTCGGAAGGCAGTGGAGGCAGATTATGGGACTATGCTGGCCATATTTGCCAAGAAAAAAGTCACTGCATTTGACAATAATTAACACGAGGCACTTCGAGGCACGGTGACAGCCAGCACTGTAACGTGGGCTCTGAGTTTCCTTCTACATCTCCTGTCTCTGTGTCTCGCCTCCTCTCAGTCAGATACTTTCCTCTCTATCTGTATACATATAGTCTCCATGGTCTTGCTCCCCACTACCTCTGCTACCTTTTAACCCCCTACCAACCTGGCCGCTCCCTAGGCTCAGCGGACTCCGGCTTACTTCACGTCCACTGCCTCGCCTGCCCCACCATTGGTGGGTGGGCCTTCTGCCACTCTACCCCCACGCTCTGGAACTCCATCCCGCAGTCCCGCAGTTATTATTTAAGATTGACAGCTCTGCTTCATTGTTTTAAGCAAAGAACGACTGCTGACATTGGAGAATGGAGAGTGATGAATTTGTAGATAACATTTCCATTGTCTGTTCTCAATCTTGTCACAATACTTTCATATCAATCCAGACTCAGAGTCAGGTCAGGTTAACACAAGGTTGCCTGTCTTCAGACAAAAAACGGATTAGACACTCACTAAAGTTACATCTTTGGGCTATTTTAACAATAAACAACCATATTTAAGAAAACACCAGAATTTGTAGACAGGAGGGAAAAAAAGGGCTATGAATTGCAGCGCTTACCAGAGTGGCTGGACATTTTGGAGAGCTGGATGGGAGTTTTCAGCAGCAAAGTTGGTTTTGACGAGTTGGAGGTATTGCTGCCAAGTGAATAGAAAGCCACAGTTACACATGCAGTCAATCAGCCTGGCCAAGTGGGGGGGCAAGTAATAACCATACGTAGTGAACAAATGACAGCTATAATCATCCGCCAATGGATCAACAGAGATGGTGAACAAAAGTCTCCGTTTCACATCCTGTAGTTCTCGGTCAGCGACAAAATAGTGAGGAGGAGGTTTGAACATAAGCAAAAATCCTTCAGGCTACTGTCCACTTCTACATGTTACATCCCTTGGTATGACGCTCTGACCTGAAATACCCTGACTATACCTGATCCTGAAGGTTTGTTTAATGAGCTTCTCATATGAGGTGTTGCTCTGCTTTGTCTGGCCAAGATTATGAAAAAATGACAAAACAATTCTGTTTTAAATAGAATTTAAAATAGAACTACTCTCCTTTATCCAGAGGCAATCATTGCTTGGGAATGAAGGTTCAGGACTGTGAGCTCACATCATCATAATATAATAATCCTTAACTTGGTTTTAGTGCCTTTCACATCAGGGGTGCTTCATGGGATATACTGTAAAGTGCAGCAACTGTGTTTTATGAGGGAACATGCAGGGCAAAACCTTCTTTTCAACAAATGACCACAACCTGAGAGGAATCGGCTTATTTTAATGAGCAGCATACTCTTACACCAGTTATCCATAGGTTCTCGTTCTCTGACAACCACTAGTGTTCAATTATAAACTTCTGGGCAGCCCCATGTGTGGATTCTCATCAAACAGGAGTGCTACAAAGACGGTCCAAAATTCAGTTCATGAAGGATCTTACAGTCACTTTCATCCCATCTATCTGACCTGTAAGCAAATTAGGGAAATGAGTAAAAGACATAGAGTAATAATCATGGGGGATTTCAACTACCCCCAAATAAATTGGCTACAAGAGATAGGTAAAGGGGATAAGGGAATGGAGTTCCTTCAATGTTTACGGGACTCCTTTCTTATCCAGGATGTAAGCGCCCCAACAAGGGAGGAATCCCTGCTGGATTTAGTAATGGCAAATGAACCAGAGCATATAAGAGAAGTTCGAGTAGGGGAACATCTAGGCAGTAGCGATCATAACTTGATAAGTTTTAAGATAAAGACTGAGAAGGACATGAGTATGACAAAGATCAGGATAATAGATTGAAAAAAAGCTGATTTTGAAGGGATGAGAATGGAACTTGGGAAAATAAACTGGAAAATAATATTGGCAAACAAAGAGATAAAGCAGCAGTGAGAAACATTCATAATAGTGATCAATAGAGTCCAGGAGAAATATATTCCGCTAAAAACCAAGACAAAGCTGAAGAATAATGAGACACCATGGATGAATAAAGACACAAGGGCAAAGTTGAGACTCAGGAAAGAGGTGTTCACTAAATGCATAAACAACAAGGGGGAGCATGACAAACAAAATACGAAGAGATCAGGAAAATAGTCTAAAAAACAATTAGGAAGGAAAGAGAAATTATGAAATTAAATTATCAAAGAATATAAAAAGAAATAGTAAAATATTCTACAGACATATAAATAACAAAAGGAAAAACAAAATAGGAATAAGGCCACTAAGGAATGGACAAGATAAGCTCACAGGCAGCGACAGGGAAATGGCAGAAATATTGAATAATGACTTTGCCTCAGTATTTACCAGGGAGACGGATCCGGAGGACGTCATAATAATAATAATCTTTGCATTTGATATAGCGCTTTTCACGTCAGGAGGAGGTCCCAAAGCGCTTCACAGAACACACTGTAAAGTGAATTGACTGTATATTTGTGGGCGAACGCGGCAGCCAATTGCGCACAGCAATGTCCCACAAACAGTCGTAGATTGAAAATGACCAATTTATTATTGTTTTTGGTTTTGGAGGGATTATTATTAGGCTCTGTGTGGAGTAAGGAAACTTGCCCAAGGTTTCGCCCTGTGCCTGGAATTGAACTCAGGTCTCTCGCTTGCAAAGCGAGTGCTCTAACCACTGAGCTACAGGACTCCACAAGTCATAGCAGAAGAAGAGATCGAAAATAATATAAATACATCTAAGATAAAAAGCGGGAGATAATCAATAAACTAACCAAACTCAGGGAGGATAAAACCCCTGGTCCAGATGGATTGCATCCACGTGTATTAAAAGAATCTGGGGAAGAGATAGCAGAGGCACATATATAACTCATTAGAAAAGGGAGAAGTGCCAGAGGACTGGGGGACAGCAAATGTTATACCTTATATTTAAAAAGGGATAGAACAAGCCCAGGGAACTATAGACCTGTCAGCTTAACATAGGGGGTAGGAAAGATAATGGAATCCTTACTGAACGAGGTAATAGAAAAACATCTAGAAACAGAAAACGTAATAAAGAATAGTCAGCACGGATTTCAAAAAGGAAGGTCATGCTTGACCAACCTCATTGAATTCTTTGAAGGGGTAACAGAGAGAGTAGACAAGGGGAATGTGGTACATGTAATATATTTGGATTTCCAAAAGACATTCAATAAGGTACCACATAATAGACTAATGAATAAGGTCAGAGCGTGTGGAGTCAGGGGAAAAATAGCAGAATGGATAGCAAGCTGCCTACAAGACAGAAAACAGAGTAGGGGTAAAGGGTAGCTACTCAGACTGGCAGAGGGTGGGCAGTGGTGTTCCACAAGGATCGGTATTGGGACAACTTTTGCTCACAATATACATTAATGATTTGGACTTGGGAATCAACAATACCATTTCAAAATTTGCAGATAACACCAAATTGGGGGAGTAGTTAATATAGAGGAGGACTGCAACAAATTACAGCAAGACATTAATAAACTTGCTGAGGGGGCATTTAAATGGCAAATGCATTTCAATGTAGGAAAGTGTGAGATGGTAGATTTTGGTAGAAGGAAACCACATATATCCTGGAAAATAAAAACTGAAATGGAATAGAAGAGCAAAGGTATCTAGGGGTACACATACACAATTCACTGAAAGTAGCAACGGCGGAGGTTAATAAGACCATAACAAAAAGGCAAACCAGGCATTGGGGTTCATTTCTAGAGAGATAGAAATGAAAAGCAGGGAAGTTATGGTAAACGTCTATAGAACCTTGGTTAGACCACACTTAGAATACTGTGTGCAATTCTGGTCCCGACTTATAAAAGGGATGTAGAGGCACTGGAGAGGGTGCAAAGGAGATTCACAAGGATGATCAGAATTGAGAGGTTATACCTATCAGGAAAGGCTGAACATACTTGGGCTCTTTTCTCTTGAAAAGAGGAGGGTAAGGGGTGACCTGATAGATGCCTTTAAAATGATGAAAGGTTTTGATAGGGTAGACATAGGGAAGAACCTTCCACTTGTGAGGGAGACCAAAAGCAGGGCCATCAATATAAAATAGTCACAAAAAGATCAAATAGTGGTCAGAAAAATTTCTTCAGAGATTAGTGAGAATGTGGAACACGCTACCACAAGGAGTTGTTGAGGCAAATAGCACAGATGCATTTAAGGGGAAGCTAAATAGGTACATGAGGGAGAAAGGAATAGAAGGTTATGCTTGAAGGCTTAGTTGAGGAAGGGCAGGAAGAGGCTCATGTGGAGCATAAACACCGGCATAGACCAGTTGGGCCGAATGGCCTGTTTCTGTTCTGTATATTCTAATGTACTCTAATGTAATTGAACTCAGGTCCTTAGAGATGAAGGAATCCAACCCAATTAGTACTTGAGCAATATATTCTGAGGAGCTATTGACATTCAGACAACAGAGGTAATAGAAAGCCTGAAATGCTGGCTGAGCCAAAAATTGTTTCTGTGCAACTCCTGTGTTTGCACAATAATCACTGCACTGTGCTTAGCAATGATCCAACAGAACCCAAATTGGGAAACTGAATTGGGAAGGATGCAGACAGCTGGACAACAGAGGGGAACGCGAGGGTGGAGCTGGAGAAGGCTGAGTTCTACCCCTCTGCCCAAATTAAAAAAAGCAAACATTAGAATTCAACCACAGTGACATTCCACACAATTATTAACAGGAGCCTCAATTAAAACTCAGACAATTCCCCAGCCCCACCAAAAACTCCTTAAAATCACAGGAAGATGAGGTCATTTGGCCCATGAGTAAGTTGTCATGTAAGAATGTAAGTTCTTATTACAGCATGGCAGAGCTAAATTATTTAGTGATAACATTCATTCATCTTTTCATTAAAACGTACTATGTTATTGCTTCCTTATACAAGCAGACATCGTAAACCATTGACACAGCACTGTGGGCTGCCACCATTCTACTCTTACATTATTATTACAGAGTGTCTCGCTCCCAATAGCATCACCCATCTTACTTGTAACACTACAAATATACTCACAGTTTAAGGGTGTTAAACATTCTCTGACAGATCTCTCGCACATTGTCTTCATTCTTTGAGTCGGAGATTTCCTGCAGAACATCTCCAATCGCCTCAAATATCTCGTCTACAGACTCAAAGTCAGACGCACTGCTGTCCAGCACACCTAGGAGTAACAAAACGTTCTTTACTTGCTGGAAATGTGCAACGTGCGGCTATGAAGCTGAGCAAAACAATTATTAACAGGAGCCTCAATTAAAACGCACACTTGACTTTCAACTGGCAGCTTTTGCAATCTCCATCACAGAAAGTTGCCGCATTCAAAGAGGTGATGCGGATTTCTGATCACACTCCCAAGTGCACAGCTAACATTCTTAACAACGCAGGTTTCAACACTTTCTCCACTCTGTGGGAATCGAGTAAAAGATAAATCCAATAATTGCGTCTCGTCTCAAGACTCAGAACTCTGATGCAATGTACTCATCTGAAGAACAGAAACAAACCTGCGTAAAACAGCATGCATTTCCTAAATGGCAGAAAGTCGAGATATTGCTGCACACATTGTCCATTCTCTTTAGTCATTTATCCCTCTTTACTGTAAGAGGCCGCCATGAGATCTTATAAAGAATTGAATCAAAAAAAGAAAATATGTAACTGCCGTTTCTTTTAAGTTTAAGCAAAACTATATTTGGTATTTTACTTTTAAATACACAAAACATCTGTCAGTGATCACTGCAGAGATCACTTTTTCCACACTCACGTCCAACATATCACAGCAGTTACAACGTTCTCTCCATTTGGCAATCAGCACAGAGTTCTCACAAAAAAAAGTTCAAACTGGGATCGTGATCGATGCTGAACTCGCGGAGCTTGCACTGGGCATTCAGCACCACGTGAGAACAGTGTAATGGTGCTAATAATAATAATAATAATAATCCTTGCATTTGATATAGCGCTTTTCACGTCGGAAGGACGTCCCAAAGCGCTTCACAGAACACACTGTAAAGTGAATTGACTGTATATTTGTGGGCGAACGCGGCAGCCAATTGCGCACAGCAATGTCCCACAAACAGTCGTAGATTGAAAATGACCAATTTATTATTGTTTTTGGTTTTGGAGGGATTATTATTAGGCTCTGTGTGGAGTAAGGAAACTTGCCCAAGGTTTCGCCCTCTGCCTGGAATTGAACTCAGGTCTCTCGCTTGCAAAGCGAGTGCTCTAACCACTGAGCTACAGGACTAATAATTGCGACATGGAGCTGCTCATTCACAGATCAATGTCCCAGTAGCCCAGTTAGCAAATGCAGCATTGAGGCCAGAAAGTCTAGTTGCAGTCCTGTGCAGGTTTAGCTGGCTTATACCAAGAAAGAAATTTAAAGTGCTGAAATTGGTCCCTGGACTGGAAATCATTAGGGTTCAGTGGAAAGGGCGCTTGGGTAATCTCAGATGAAAAATGATCAGGTTCAACCTGATCTGCCGACACTCACTGGCAAGAGCCACTTGGGTAAGGGATGAGAAGGCTGCCAGCACCCACTCATTACAATAACAACCTGAATCAATGTCGTGGCCTTCACTTGGGGTAGTGTCTCAGATCGTTGGCATTGAGTGTGTGGGGGGGAAGAAAATTGACAAAGGCAAATATTCACAATGTTCACCTCAAGAAGCTGCAGAACCCAATGTGATAAACAACATTCTGTGCGTAAGCACAGTACATCACAGATCATTGATCCTCAAGAATTCCTTTAATTCAAATCAGCATTTTTACCTCCCCTGAAATCTCACTGCACAATCTTACCTGTAGTTTTATTATTTGTACAGCACAATGCTTACCACATCTGTTTCTTAAATTGATTTTCTGCCCCAATATTTCCTCTATTTTGGCTTCCACATGTCCTACGATATTTCAGTTCTACTTTCCCTTGCCCCTGTAGTTTTTCTCCCAAATATGCCTCAAGTTAAAGAGCTGGATACATTACCCTTCTCTGCCACAGGCATGTTTCCAATGAATGGTTTTCACCACGTGATTCAGTATCATACTGAAAATACTGAATATTTGGTATTTGCATTTGGCTGCAGTACAAAGTTTATATTTGCAAATTTATTTGCTTCATGTCTTACAGTTCTGAATTGTATGTTTACATATTTTCAAAGCAACTTTACTAAAAAAAACTTTGTTAAATAAACTAATATTTAATGGTCATTCTCTACTAATGTTGTCCATCTTACATCTGAGACTAACCTCATTTTTTACTGCTGGAATCTTCTGGTTAAGTTAACTGTTAAGTTAACTCCAGTTAAGTTAACTGGAGTCCTGTAGTTCACTGGTTAGAGCACTCGTCTTGCAAGCGAGAGACCTGAGTTCAATTCCAGAGGGCGAAACCTTGGGAAAGTTTCCTTACTCCACACAGAGCCTAATAATAATCCTCCAAAACCAAAACCAATAATAAATTGGTCATTTTCAATCCACGATTGTTTGTGGGACATTGCTGTGCGCAATTGGCTGCCGCGTTCGCCCACAAATATACAGTCAATTCACTTTACAGTGTGTTCTGTGAAGCGCTTTGAGACGTCTAGAAGACATGAAAAGCGCTATATCAAATGCAAGGATTATTATTATTATCATCATGTTCTTGGTTGATTCACAACATCACTGTTAGAGAGTTTAGATTCATCTTAGAGAACTGTAAATAAGTGTGGCAATTTTTAGGTGAAATTTGATTCAGATGTAAGGCAAAGAAGAAATTGCATTGCATTTGGTGGCACCTCATTGCACTGAAATGACTCAAAGCAGTTAAATACTGTCACATCTTATGTTTGTAGTAAATTTAGTAGCTAATAAATACAACAAAATCTCATCAGCCTGATTTTACAATACTTTTTAAAGAGAAGGATTTTTTCCAAGTGTGTTGGCCAACAGTCCTACAGATTAATTAGTAATTCACCTCTGACTGCTTCGATGGATATTAAAGATCCTATGCTGCTACTTAAAAGGAGGAGAACTTCTGCCAGTTTCTCCAAAGCTGCTCCCAAGCCCCCACACCATGCTCGGGTCCTGATCCCTGACTGTTCAGCGCCTTGGGACGTGAAAGCCTCTTTACAAATATAATTTGTTGTTGTTATTTTCTGGCCAACCATCACAAAATAAATACCTCACACTTTGTAGCTGTGGTGGAATATTGCTGTGCCTAAATTGTGGCTTGAAACCACAAATTTCAGACTCAGAGACAAGACAGCCGAGCAACAACTTCTTGCACTTTTTTTGCTGCCTCCACGCAGGGTAGCATCTCAGACCGTTTAACAGTGACGGTGCCTGACTCCGAACCGGGGGGAGGTGACCATAATCACAGTCGAAAAAGAAAGTTTTCTGGCAAAACTTGAAAGAGGGGAGAGGGGGGGCAAGGCGGAGGGATTGAACCAGAGGGTTCCAGAGTTTGGGGGCGTGGTGGAGTGGCTGAAAACACGACCTTCGATGGTGGGGCATATACACATCCAGTTTATACAACCCTTGTATTTGACAACAGTGCCTTATCAGGTCACCAACGGACTTCACAGGATTCACTGCGGTAAAGTGCGGTAACTGTGTATTTTGCAGACTATCACAGCCGCTAATTTACGTACAGAAACATCCCACAGACCACCACGCAGTGGGTTGAAATGACCAATTTATTTTTTTCTTCTCTGGAGGGATTATTATCAGGTGTGTGTGTGGAGAGCTGCCGGGTCTCTGGCTTCCGAGGCGAGGGCTCCACCCACTGAGCTCCAGGGACTCCTCACCAACAGCGGAACCTTAACATCCGCCTGAGCAGCTCGGGGCCAGGAGTCGGGGTTAACGACTCATTTGACAACGTGGCAGCGTCAGGGCCGGACAGTGACCGTGAGCTCGGCCCCGGCCCCGGTCAGGCTAAGTCACCGCTGGGCCGGGGGCGGGGGACCGGCTGACAGACAGACAGACAGAGACAGACACCCAGGAGCGCAGTGCAGCGCGGTGTATGCCGCAGTCAGCGCCGCCCCCTCCCCGGCTGCTCCCCGGGGCCTGGCGCTGGGAGCGGCGCCGGCCGGGAGCCGGGCCGGGCCGGGCCGGGCAGAGCGGGAGCGCCGTGCACGCTAGGCCGAGACCGGACGCGAGAGGCCGGGCCCTGTCCGGTGGCTGGAGGAGACCCGGCGCCCCGGCAGCTGCTCCTCACCCGTCACGTAGTGGAAAAGCTCCGAGTCCATGTTGGGGAACTCGCGCCGCAGGATCTCCACGTAAGCCGCCATCTTACTCCCGGCGCCCTCCCTGCCCGGCTGCCCTCTGCGCCTGCGCACTGCACCCTCCCGCCCGGCTGCGCCTGCGCACTGCACCCTCCCTGCCCGGCTGCCCTCTGCGCCTGCGCACTGCACCCTCCCTGCCCGGCTGCCGCCTGCGCACTGCACCCTCCCGCCCGGCGATCCTCTGCGCCTGCGCACTGCACCCTCCCGCCCGGCGGCCCTCTGCGCCTGCGCACTGCGCCCGGGATGTGTGGCTTGAGGCCCGGTGTCGGTGCTCGGGGTCGGGCCGCGGGTTCGGGCTTCTGTAGCGACAATGATGGGCGGACGGGGGGGAATATAATAATAATAATCCTTGCACTTGATATAGCGCTTTTCACGTCGGGAGGACGTCCCAAAGCGCTTCACAGAACACATTGTAAAGTGAATTGACTGTATATTTGTGGGCGAACGCGGCAGCCGATTGCGCACAGCAATGTCCCACAAACAGTCATAGATTGAAAATGACCAATTTATTATTGCTTTTGGAGGATTATTATTAGGGAATTTAGGTGGAACAACTTCACACAGAGGGGAGTGAGACTGTGCAACGCGATGCCTGAGGCGGTGGTTGAATCAGACACTGTAGATACAAATGGAGGCGGTGGAGACTCGGGGCTGTGGGCCGAGTGCCCGGTGTCCGGGCTGCCGCTGGGTGGCCCCCGCCTGGTGTGCCCGGGGCTCTCCCTTCCTGACCAGGTTATGGCAGCCTTACCTCGGGCTGAGGGCCCCGAGTGTGGTTCACAGCCTCACGTTACAACACGTGTGAATTTAGGAGGTAAATTCCCGCCATCACACAGTTCTTGTCGGACTCCACTGGCTCACAATCACCGAATGGATCCACTTCAAGACCTTCTCACTCGTTTTCAAATCACTTCATTCTCTCGCACCTCACTTCCTGCTTATTGCCGAGTCCACCATTCGCTGCCTCTGCTCTGCTCTCCTGGCTCCAGCTCCCGCTTTTCCCTTGTGCTCTCCGTTCCACTATCGGTGGCTGTGCCTTCAGCCGCTATGCCCTGGAACTGTAATGTGGAGTAAGGAAACTTGCCCAAAGTTTCACACTGCCCACAATCAAACCCAGGTCTCTCGCTTGCAAGGCAAGTGATATCCAACTCTCCCTCTCTGCCCCCCTCCCCCCCCCCCCATTGACTCCAGGACCCACTGCTGTCCTGACAGAATGTCTGTCAGACATCAAGTCCTGGATGGGAGGTAACTTCCTGCAGTTGAATGTCAACAAGACCGGGGTTCCTGATTGGCTCCCGTCAGCGCCTCCTCACCTCAGGCGCTGACAGCATCACCATCCACGGGGCTCACTCCCCCTCACTGAGCCGGTCCCAAACCTTGGGGTTCTGTTTGACCCTCAACTATCTTTCTACCCCACATCTGCGCCATCACCCGCTCTGCCTTCCCCACCTCCGCAACATCGCCCGCTCCGTCACTGTCTCACACCGCAGGCCCCCGAGACCCTCACACACGCCTTCATTACATCGAGGCTCAACTATGCAAACTCATTGCTTGTCGGCCTCCCCAACTCCTCCCTCCACAGGCCACAGATCACCAGAACTCTGCAGCCTGTGTCCTCTCCTGCACTAGGCTCCGTGACCCTATCAATGCATCATTGCCCTACTCCACTGGCTTTCTATCACACAGAGGATACAGTCCAAGATTCTGGGCCTCACCTTCAAAGCCCTCCATGGTCTTGCTCCCCCCTACGTACGCGACCTCCTAACCCCTACCATCCTGCTCCTCCCTCCGCTCAGTGGGCTCCGGCCTGCTTCAGGTGCCCCGCCTCACTTGCCCCACTATTGGCAGGCAGGCCTTCTGCCACTCTGCCCCCACCCTCTGGAACTCCATCCCACAGTCCCTCCGCCTCGCCCCCTCCCTCGCCTCCTTCAAGACCCATCTCAAGACCTTCCTCTTCGACTGTGCTTTCGATCAGCCTCCTTCCCCCCCACCTGCCCTCCACCCTCCCCGATCCTGACCTCCATCTCGGATCCAAAACTCTGTCTTTCCAGCACCTTGGGATGTCCTCCCGATGTGAAAGGCGCTTTACACATGGAATTTTATTGTTGCTGTTGAGTGCTCATACCACTGAGCTACAGGACTCCACAAGTTGTTGTAAAATATCTGGCAGAAGATTCAGGGAAATCAGGCCGGAAAACCAGAGAAAATTACTTTCAAAATGCTCCACATTAAAATTTCTTTCTTATTATAAGTTTCCTGAAGCTGTAAAACTGCTGTTCTACACTAGAGAGCACCATTGCTCTATACTTGACAGATAGCTTTGTGAGGCCAAAAGAGTCTTGTTCCTTTTTTTAGTTTAGAAACTCCTTTGTGCCTAACCCCACTTTCCAGCTCTCTCCCTATTACCATTAGAATCAGAACGATTAATAATATTAATAATCCTTGCATTTGATATAGTGCACATCTTACCACATCTTCTAGATGTCTCAAAGCGCTTCACGGAATATACTGTAAAGTGAATTGACCTTATATTTGTGGGTGAAACGTGGCAGCCAATTGCGCACAGCAATGTCCCACAAACAGTGGTGGGTTGAAGTGAGCAAATTTTTTTTTTTCTTGAGGCATTATTATCAGGCGAGGGTTCGCCCTGCCGGGATTTACAGAGCACAAGGAGGCCCATTGAGTCTGACCCGGCTGTCACCCACAAAATATACAATCAATTCACTTTATTCTGTGAAGTGCGTTGAGACGTCTCGAAGACGTGATAAGGCGCTATATCAAATCCAAGGATTATTATTATTATTATAGAGCAAGCCTGTTCTGCCTCACACCCCTTCAAGCTTTTTTCCTTCATAAACAGAAAAGGAGCTGTTACTCTGTTAGGTATTTACTATAGACCTCCAAATAGTGGGAAGGAGAGAGATGAGCAAATCTGCAGCAGATTTCAGAGAGATGCAAAACCAATAGAGTAGTGATAATGGGGGACTTTAATTACCCTCACATAGACTGGGAAACACACAGTGTAAAGGGCAAGGAGGGGGAGGAATTCCTGCAGGAGAACTTTCTGGATCAGCATGTTTCCAGCCCAATGAGGAAGGAAGCAGAGCTGGATCTGAGAAATGAAGTGGGGCAAGTGGAACAGGTTTCAGTGGGAGAGCATCTGGATAACAGTGATCACAATATCATTAGGTTTGGAATAGTTATGGAAAAGGACAACAATCAATCAAAGGTAAAGACCCTCAACTGGAAATGGACTAATTTCAGTGAGCTAAAAGGGACCTGGCCAAGATAGATTGGAAAGAAAGATTAGCAGATAAGACAGCAAACAATGGGAAGCCTTCAAGGAGGAGATAGTTTGGGGACAGAACAAATACATTCCCACAAAGGGGAAACGTAGGACAGTCAAACTTTCCTGGATGACTAAGGAAATTGGGATTAAAATAAAACAAAAAAAGAAAGCTTATGACAAATGTCAGGTGGAAAATATAGGATAATCAATATAGAATATAGGAAGTACAGAGGAGAAGTGAAAAGGGAAAGAGATTGTATCAGAAAAGATTAGCGGGAAACATAAAAGGGAACCCTAAGATATTTTATAAGCATATCAAGAGTAAAACATTAGTCAAAGGTAGAGTGAATCCAATTAAGGATCCAAGTGGAAATCTTGTTGAGGCAGAGGGCATTGGCTGATGTACTAAATAAGTACTTTGCAGCTGTCTTCACAAAAGAAGACCAATGCCACAATATCGCGTGTGAACAGAAATTGGATATGATAAAAAATAATAATAATAATCCTTGCATTTGATATAACGCTTTTCACGTCTTCTAGACCTCTCAAAGCACTTCACAGAATATACTGTAAAGTGAATTGACTATATATTTGTGGGCGAAACATGGCAGCCAATTGCGCACAGCAATGTCCCACAAACAGTCGCGGATTGAAGTGACCAATTTATTATTTTTTTCTTGAGGGATTATTATTATTTGCCCAAGGTTTCGCCCTGCCGGGAATTGAACCCAGGTCTCTCGCTTGAGAGGCGAGTGCTCTAACCACTGGACTCCACAAATATTCTAAGGAATTCTAAAATAGGCACAAAAAAGAGATCTTTTCTCTATCCCAAAAGTCAATGGACAAAGAGGAGGTACTAAAAAGGCTGTCGGTGCTCAACATAGATAAGTCACCTGGTCCGGATGGGATGCATCCCAGGTTACGAGGGAAGCAAGGGTGGAAATAGCGGAGCTCTGGCCACAATCTTTCAATCATCTTTGGACACTGGAGTGGTGCCAGAGGACTGGAGAGTTGCAAATGTTACTCCCCTGTACAAAAAGGGGCAGAAGGATAAACCTGAGAGCTACAGCCAATCAGCCTTATGTCAGTAGTAGGGAAACTTCTGGAGACTATAATCCGGGACAATATAAATTTTCACTTGGAAAAATATGGTTTAATAAAGGACAATCAACACGGATTTGTTAGAGGCAGATCGTGTCTGACAAACCTAATAGAATTTTTTGATGAAGTGACTGAGAGTGGATGAAGGTAGTGCAGTCGACGTAGTTTATCTAAGTTTTCAAAAGGCATTTGACAAAGTGCCACATAAGAGACTTATAAACAAAATAGAAGCCCACGGTATTAAAGAGACTGTGGCAACATGGATCCAGAACTGGCTGGGAGACAGAAAGCAGAGAGTGGTAGTAAACGGTTGCTTTTCTGACTGGAGGGAGGTGTGTAGTGGTGTCCCTCAGGGGTTGGTATTGGGACCACTGCTCTTTCTGATCTATATCAATGATCTGGACCTGGATATAGAGAGCACAATTTCCAAATTTGCAGATGGTGCTAAGCTCGGAAAAGCAGTTAATGGTGAGGAGGATAGTACCAGACTACAGGAGGACTTAGACAGATTGGTAAAATGGGCAGAAAAGTGGCAGATGAAATTTAATGTGGAGAAATGCAAAGTGTTGCATTCTGGTAGGAATGAGGAGGCAATGTAAGCTGATGGTACTATCTTAAAGGGGGCAAATGAACAGAGAGACCTGGGGGTCCACATGAGCAGATCTCTGAAGGTGGCAGGA